CATCATCGCCTCGCCATCATCATCATCGCCATCACCATCATCGCCATCACTATCACCATCACCATCACCATCATCGCCATCATCACCATCATCATCATTGCCATCATCGCCATCCCCATCATCACCATCATCGCCATCATCATCATCATCATCATCATCATCATCATCATCATGATTCCACTAAGCATTCTCACCCTGAACTAACTCTGTACACTTCTGTGGCACCCTGAAACAAATTCCTTTTATTTTGTTCCAACCAGCGTCCACAACCATTTCCCTTATGTCTACTTTCCATCCAGGGAGATTAATCTAACTCCTAATATTTTTTCATGCAGGACTTGTACTTTTCCTTCCCACAATCATTCTACTTTCACTTTAGTTCCTTTCAATTCTTTTCTTTTCTTCTCTTCCATAGGCAGTGTTTCCCAAGATCCACTTTCAACATTATAAAAGAATGGGTTGTCCCACGTTCAGAACCTCCCATAACTAGAGACATACAATATTCAAGTGGGCATGTATGGAGAAGCACATGAAACATGAATTAAACCTAGGAAAAGAAGAAGGTATGAGAAACAAACTCAAGACTCCCCTGTCTTGAGTTTCTTTGGTATATGAGGGAGGGAAGCATTTTGCTTTCAAGATTCTGTTACTATAGCCTAGATCAATAGAGTCCCAGTATTTCTTGTGGAGTCTGTTTTCTGACCTCTCCTACCTCAAAGGGTTTTATTTATTTATTTATATTTCAAATTTAGATACCACCCATCTCATGAAAAAGTGACTCTGGGCAGTGCACAATAAATATTAATTAAAATGCAATAAAAACAATATCAAAATACAGTAAAAATAGAATAAAACCAGAAACATACGCAAATAATAATATCTTCCAAGATATTTGACAGCATAGCAGCGTGGAGTCTGGCATGAGTAGCTTCATTGCCCTGATGGCTCCTTCTTAAAGGAGCTGGAGTTTTGAAGAGCTTGCACACTAACCATGTGTGCTCAGGATAATACCATATTTAAGTTAGAGAGGTAGGAACCTGGTGTGACCACACATCATATGTTTATGAGATATTTAGCATTTTTTGGAATGGCACATGGGATTGAGATGCACAGCTATGACCAACTGATTGTCCTCATGCTTCACAAGCTCTTATCGCTTACCCGTGATAGGCCCGTAAGTGACGATGTAGTTGTTCATCTCAGCCACTGCAGGACGCCACGTCAGCACGGCAGAGGTATCGGTTACATTGACAGCACGCAAATTGGAAGGGCCGTCTGGCACTGTGAGTTAGAGAAGGAGAGGATTGCCTGAATATTTCCCCCAAAAGGGATCCCTGCACTGTGGAAGGGGAAGACATCCTTCTACTTGAGCCTCTGGACAGGCACAGCTTGGTATAAAGGAGCTTCACAGAAGTGGATCCTAGTTTTGGGCAAGACTAGATCAATTAAGTAGAGCTCTGGTATTTTGGGTAGTCTCTGTTTCCTGACTTGGCTTACCTTGAAGGGCTGGCACTAAATGAATCAATAAGTGTGGAGTCCTGGGTGCTCTCTGAGCTTGGTGGTTTGCTTGCAGAAGTTTCATTACCCCACTAGGTAACTAGGTAACATCATCAGTGCTAGTGAGTCGGGTAATGAAACGTCTGCAAGCAAACCACCAAGCTCAGAGAGCACCAAGGACTCCACAGTTCAACCCTGAGCTACAGATATTCTCTTCTATTGCAGACTAGGTAACATCATCAGTGCTAGTGAGTCGGGTAATGAAACGTCTGCAAGCAAACCACCAAGCTCAGAGAGCACCAAGGACTCCACAGTTCAACCCTGAGCTACAGATATTCTCTTCTATTGCAGTCAAAAGTGAATCAATTGATAAGTGAATCAATCAATAAGTGAATCAATTAATGAGCAGGTCATTCTGCTGCCAGATAACATTTAAGCCTTTTGCCCCCGTGGCTTACCTGTGGTGACATAACCCACCAACGGCTCGCTCTCTTCAAACCCACGGATAGACATCACGGCAACCTCATAGCTGGCCCCAGGAGTCAGACCCTCTATGATTGTCCTGAGTTGAGATCCATCCACTGGAATGCTTTTAGGCTCTCCTAAAAACAGAAAAACAGAGCTTATACCTTTGCCTAAGATGTTATGAAGTACTGCACTGAGATCATTTGTTTTCTTGATTTGGTGCTCTCCAAGTAGGATAGGCAACTTGTTGAGCTAGCATGGGAAATGCACATCTTGGCTGGGCATGATGGGAATTGTAACCCCATTCATTTGGAGAGGACCAGGCTCAAGCAGCCTGCACTGAGACACAGGCTGACTTAATAATAACGTTTTGGGAAGTGGTTTCCTATTGCCACATTCCTCTTATGACAGAGAGAGGGACTGACCCAAATTCACGCCCCTAGTTTCTGTGCCTAAGGCAAGACTAGAACTCAAGTGTCCCCACTTCTAGTCCAGCACCCTAACCACTAGACCAGTGTTTCTCAATCTTGGCAACTTTAAGATACGTGGACTTCAACTCCCAGAATTCCCCAGCCAGCCGTGCTGGCTGGGGAATTCTGGGAGCTGAAGTCCACATATCTTAAAGTTGCCAAGATTGAAAAACACTGCACTAGACCAAACTGGCTGTCAACATTACCACCATGGAAACAACAAATTTAGAGCTGGATCTTGGTTCCATGGCTACAAAGTTTTAAGACCATTGAGGAGGCATACCTGGATTAATATGACACAATAAACCTTAAACCCAGTTTCATAAAACACAATTGCTGGGCTCACATGATCTGCTGGGCCCAAACAAATCATACTATGATTTAACAGGATGGACTGGTTCATAATGGTTGGTTTCTCCCCAGATGCTAAACCTAACTCCATTCCACTTTAGCTTCATCCGGCATCTTGTGTGAACCCAACTAAGAGGTTCTGCGTGATGTTAACATACGCTCCTGGGGAACAAGTAGATAGAGACCCTCACCTCCATCTGAAGGCTGGAAAGAAACTTTGTAGCCATCAATGCGAGAAGATGGGGGTCTCCAGTTGGCTACCACAGAGGTCTCATGAATGTCACTGAAGCGCAAGTCCTGGGGACCATCCAACTCTGGAGGAAGAGAGAAGAGAGCAAGCGAGAGATGGATCTGTGTCTCTTTTGCAGATAATAAAATAGGGAAGACATCACTGAGGGAAGAGTCAATTTTTTAGTCAAAACAGGAAACATCTGTTGGTCTCCAATCCTCTAATACAAAATTCCTCCTTAAAAGCAGCTGGTGGTGTCGGGAGACAGTCTTCAAATGAGGTGATATATTGGCCCACCTTCTGACCCACCTTCTACCCATACCAGGCTGCCAATCCAATTTGTTTGCTTTTTTTTCTTTTTAGAACAAAAAATGAAGAGCAAATGTTATGAACTCCTTAAAATGCAGCAAGGGGTTATGTGGGGAAGCTGCCTCAGGTGGAGGCTATAGCCAGCCAAATGTTGAACTCCCTCCCTCCTTGCCCCAAGGTCTCATCCCAAATTGGGGCTTTGCTTCCCCCCTTCTTTTAGGAAAAAATGAAAAATGACATTTCGAGTTGTAACTCAGGAGTGGCTGCAGCTGGGCCCTGCTGAGAAGTGGAGAGTACAAAAACGAGACCCGTGTTTTGGCACGTGCCTGTTGCTTGCTCACCCCTTGCCCTTAAAGTCTTCCCTCCCTCTCTTTTGGGACTGGGGGTGGCCAATCTGGCTGACCACAAAGGAAACAATAAAGTGCCAAAGATGAATTACTCAGGTCTTACAAAGGAAACCACAGCTGGAAGCCGGCCCAGCCCGATGTGAACCAAGCCAGGAACGGACAGCTGCTGGGTTGCTTGGGGTCTCCCACAAGATCAGCTCTGAGCTCTGAAACCTCATGGCCTCTGCCTTGATGACCCAGTGGCCTTCCTAGCGCAGATTAGCAGGTAGAGTTAGATAGCGGGCAGAGCTAAACTTGACAGAGATGGCTGGTTGGAGCGGAGATGAGTGGAAACTGGACCCTGTCCATGGTTTCCTGGCAGCCACAGAATAATTTCTTGGCAGCCATTTTTACCAGGAGTCCCATGGAAGAGGGCCGTATTAGGGTATTTCCCAGCTTATTGCCAGGGGAGAGGGACGGCACAAGGAAGAGCATCACAGGCTACTACAGCTGTTGTTGACAGGCCTCTCTTGTGAAATCTGGAATGATGATGAAAACAGTCAAGAGATGGCTCCCTTCCTCCTCTGATTTCTGGTCAAGATTCCCAGTCTTTTCTGGGAAAGCTAAACTCTTTTATCACTGGTTCTCAAAGTTCCCAGTTCTCCCAACCCTTCACTCCACATCTGCCAGGGACATCCTATGGCATGAAACCTGCCCCTTCGCCACTCCCACTTCCCAGGTCTTCCCTTTCTCTTCCAAGAATTGCTGAGGCAGTTACTTTACCTGCTTGAAAAGTTCTTATTCTAATCTTTCTGTGACATCACAGAAGCCCAGCCAATAGTTATGGGGCAAGGCTTCCAAGCAAGAGGCATATTTGCAGCTTTGCCATGGAATGAATGAATGAATGACTGACTGACTGACTGAATGAATGAATCTATATCTATCTATCTATCTATCTATCTATCTATCTATCTATCTATCTATCTATCTATCTATCTATCTATCTATCTACCTACCTACCTACCTACCTACCTACCTATCATCTGTTGAATTAACTTTTTGTAACTGACACCCCACTTACTATGTTAATGCTTTCATTGAAATGTATTTCCTCCTGCTTTTTTGACAGTGAGGCAACACTACTGCAACTTTACCTAGCCCGCTTGTCCTTGCTCCCGTGCTGATATCGGCCACTTCCGTCTCATCCTTGATGCCATAGACTGTAAGGCTGTATTCAGTGCTGGGTGCAAGTCCCTGTAGTGTGACGGAGCGCTCATCCCCGGGCACTTTAACTTCTTTGGCCAGGGCAGGCCTTGGGCCACTTTCCAGAGAGTCCTTCCATCGAATTAGGAAGGAATCAAACTCTCCCTCGGGGACGTCCCAGGTGAGCTGCAGAGTCGTAGATGTCACTTCAGAGACAACAAGACAATCAAGCGAGGGGGCCGGACTGCTGGTGTGTTCTGAGAAAGCTGCGCGAGAAAGAATACAAATGGGGTGAGGGGGCCACGCACTGAGTTCACATTTAGATAGACAACATCGTTTTGTCCCTAGGCCCCTCTTTGTGGCCTTTGTCACAGGGGCTGGTGAAATCACAACATTAAGCGAATGCAGGGAATAAATTCTCACCCTTCTTTCCCATGTTCTTAGAGGATTGGGTGAATTTCTAAGGGGGAAAATGGGTGCCTTGAACCCCTGCAAGGATTTAACATTTTGGCCGTTAAATCCCCAAGTGGGAAACAGAGGACCCCTTTTGGGAGGCCACCTTCTGCAAATAGAGTTGTGATTGTAGGCAGAAATTTCAGCGAAAAGATGATGCCAAGATGGGGCAACGGTGAATCGCAGACTGGAGATGATAAAGAAATAGTCATCTTCACTCCTGCAAGAAAAGCTAAGCAAAAGGGATGACAGTGCTCACTTCATAAATGTTCCCACAAATTAACTAAACCATGATTGATTCAATCGATTCGATTTTCTGGATTTGCAGACATTCGGAATACATCGAACCATAAACAAGCCACATAGGTTGGGTTCATGCAGTAAGCCAGAATCGCTGGGAGTTGTTGTTATTATTATTGTTATTATTATTATTATCAGGCTAAGTGTAACTGGCTGGTTTGTGTTTCACCGAACTGTGCAAGCAAAACCACTGAGATCCTGACATAAACTCCACCCTTCCTGTTCACATGAACTGCTTTCTCATTTCTGGAACAAACAAGCAAAAAAGAGCACGGGATATTGCTTATAGAGCTTCTGCCTAAAAGTTTTCATCTTTTCTTCTTTATATAAAAGGGCTGAAAGCGTTAACATGCTTGTTCAACCACTTATTCAAAAACAGAAGCCCTCCTAAAACTCTCCTGGGCGACTGAATCACGCCACGGGCATGTTAAGGAGGATGACCGACAACTCCCTTGTCCTCCCGGCAGCTTGCTACTCTGCAAACATTTCTCTCTTGAGTCAGCCCTGCCTTCTGGGATGTCTGCCACCATCTTAACTTTTTTGACCACGCTCTGCAGTGTGAGGAAGTGAAGCTGGGATTGTTGTTTGTGTTTGGGGAAAGCAGCTGCCGCCAGGCAGAAATGCTGTCCACCCCACTTCCCCAAAGTTCAGCACAGCCTTTTTCCAAGGGGTTATAAAAGTCTACAGCCCCAGAAACCTGAGAGATGGCTGGCCTGCCTGCCTGCCTGCCTGCCTGCCTTCCTTCCTTCCTTCCTTCCTTCCTTCCTCAAGTTTACTTACAAGCATCTGCACCAGTGTTCCAGCGGCCTGGCTAATAGAGCCACACCCTGGCATTTTCAAGGACGTGCCGACGTCTGGAGGCAGCCTTACCCCACCCGGGACCTTAGCTTCCAAAAGCAGAGGCTAAGACAGAAAGTGTGGGGGCATGTATGAGAAAAGGAGATAGGAAAACAGCAAGTAGGCGAGGAAGCGGGAGGCGACATCTGGAGGCGGACAGCTATTACAGGCAGGCAAGAGGACTGTCACTCAACTGCTGGGGCCAGAAGCCGTGTTGAGCAGCATATCCTGGTGGGATTGCTGCCTGGAGCTGGGCTTGGGAGCTGAGCTGGCATGCTCAAAAGCAACACTGTTTAAGACAGTGCTTCTCAACCTTGACAACTTTAAGACGGGCGGACTTCAACTCCCAGAATTCCCCTGGCTGGGGAATT